AGTAAACCAAATACCAATTTGGTGTTTCGCTTCGGCTGTTGTGCCAACCGTCCTTTGCTGAGAGGAGGAGCTGAGAGACTTGAATTCTTCCCATGGAGATGAGCTTCCGGCCTAATGGGCTGTGATCTCATCAGCTGGCATCTTCCAAGGTGCAGTGCTCTCCTTTTGCTTTATTCTCTTTTGATTTTGTGCAGTTCCACTCCATTTTGGCATATGGCAACTGCTGAACGTCAGTGGTCAGGCTAATCAGTTTTTCCAACCGGATGACCCGTCCACATGGCCTCTCTGCCCCCCTAATCAGGGATTCTTCTTCGTCACTGGCAAAGCTGGTAGTGTCTTCTGCATAACAAGTGGTAATGAACCCACCTGGGCCAAATTCAATGGCCATTTATGCTGGTCTCTAAGACTGGGGGACAGGACAGATACCAGGCCTACCCAGGGCAAACTGGAAAGGCCTCGGGTTAGTGGGCGCCATCATCACCTGGGCATGGACTGCTCAGAGCCCCCTTGATCTGGCCAGGCGCCTCATGCCGCTTCCCCAGGAGGGCTGGGAGAGGACAGGCGGCCTGGGATTAGCCAGCCCCCCCCCCTGGGCTGGTGGCCCCTGCCCCTTTAAGACCTCTCCCCCACCAGCTGAGCTGCTTAGCGAAGAGCAGCTATGAAAGCCCTGCAGCAGCGTAGCTGGCCCTGGTGGTGGGGCAGTTGGTGTGGAGGGTTCCTGGAGTGAGAAGGGTTGTGGGTCCTGCACAGGAAACTGGAAGCAACCTGCTGTGAAGGAGAAATATACTTTACTCCTGGTAGTAAGGGGCAGCAGAAGACCCGGGGAGGGTGTGAAAGCAAAGTGGGACTACCACGCAAGGCTCTGCTGGGGTTGGGTTGCCTAAAGGCCAGGGAGGCTGATTTGGGCCCTGGGGGGGTGGGGGCCCACTGAATTGGGTGTGTGATCAGGGCCCAGTTGTGGGGTGGGTCTTGGCTGGGGATCTAGTAGGTGGGGATCGGCCGTCTCTTCAGGGCTGGAGCGTATGAAGGTACCCTAAATGTTGTGAGTGTGGGTGTGTGTTTTATCCAGTCCTGGTGATAGAAGAGGGCTCCGTGGGGTTCTTTTCCTTTGGTCGGCCTTTGCTTGATGGAATGGGGGGGGGGGGGGGGAGGGGGGGACAGCACCTGGAGGGGCAACCCCACTGTAGCTTCTGGGCCCGCAGAGTGGTTGGAGGGCGCCAGAGGGGATGCTGACAAGGGCAAGACCCTGGTGGGGTCTTTGGAGGGAGAGTTGGCTTTGGGGAACGTCTCAGGTGCACAAAGGGCGGTCGGTGCCCCCTCCCCGTAATACACACAGCTAAAAGAGCCCCTGGATCGCGCGGGGGGGGGGAGGGGAGGGGGTTGCCAGGCAGCCGTTCCTTCGGGCGCGCAGCTTGCAGGGGGCGCTGTGGGGGGTTCGGCCTGCGCCGTGTCCGAAGATTGGCCCCGGTTCAGCCACAACCGGAACAGGTGCCGCCCGTTAGGATCCGCTCGCCCAGCCCGCAGGGCCCGGCTTGGGGGTCTCCGGCGAGAAAGGTGGCGGGTCGGCTCCAAAGGGGCTTTTTGCGAGGAGGCGGCCGGGCGCTCCCGCTGAGGCCCTGGGCGAGGGGAGCCCCCCTGCTGCAGCGCTCTCCTTGCGCGACCCCCCCCTCCCTCCCTCCCTCCCTCCCTCGGCTGCCATCTGGAGGGGGAGGGGGCTGCGGGGGGAGCTGAGCCGCTGACGTCACTGGCCCCGCCCCCTCCGTGCCCCGCCGCCGCCGCCGTTCCTGCGCAGCCTGAGCGCTGCGGGCTCCGGGAAGCCGCGGTGAGTCAGCAGCGCCGGGAAGGGCGGCGCGGGGAGTCCCGTCGCCTGGCGGGAGGGGCGGCCTTGCGGGCGAGGGGCTTCGCGGGCAGGGCGGAGGTCCGCCGGGCACTCGCTCGTTCCCCCGGCAGCCGAAGGCCTCGGCCCGGCCTCCCTCTCCGCCGCACGCCCGACGGCGCCTCCCCCGCGAGGGTCCCGTGGGCGGCAGGCCCCCAGGCCAAGGGGGGCGCCGCTTCGGGGGCCTTCCGCGCCGCCCCCGCAGAGGCCAGGCCGCATCCCCGGAGTCGCCGGCTGGCCTGCCCGGCTCTTGGGGGCTGCGGGGGGGGCTGCGGGGTCTCCGCCGGCTTGGCGCATTGGGCGGCGGGCGCGGGGCGGGGGCACCCGGCCCTCACCCACCCCGCCGCCGCCGCCGCCATCCCTGGGACCCCGAAGCCAGGCAGGAGGCAGGCCGCCCAGGCGCCCGCCCTCTTCCCGAGCCCAGTCCGGGCCCCCTCCCGGATGTGGGGGCTTGCAGGGCTTCGCCGCGGCTGTGTGGCGGCAGGAAGCCCGGCGCCCCTCGGAGAGCCGCCTTCTCTCTGGCCGAGCGGAGCGGCCCCGCGAGCATCTTGGAAAGGCCTGGAACCTCGCCCGGAGCTTCGAAGCTCTGGTGCGCATTTGGGCCCCGATCTCCTCCGCAGCGCCGTCTTGACCCCGAGCGAGGCCCCCGGAATGTTTATTGGCTTAAAGCATTTATACAGCCGCCCATCTTAAAGCCAACTCTCCGAAAATTAAGAGGCATATAAAGTTGTTGGCCACCAGGTGAAAGGTGAAAGATTAAAACAAAAGAGTGGCCTGGATCGAGGTGAAGGTGCTATCATCCAGTGGCGACGCTTGAGGGAAAAGCCAGTTCTGTGACCCCCACGAAATGGGGACTAAAAGGCTGGGGGGGGGGGCACAGAAAAGGCTCCTTTCTTGGCTCCCTTTAGGTTTGGGGGAGGGAAACGGGAGCCGCCCACTCTCTCTGACCTGGAAAAGGTGATCCTGCAGGCAACCTGGCTCTGTGCCAAGTGCGGCTTTAAGGGGACAAGGCACCTTGAATTGCACCTGGAAAGAAACTGGGAATCGGAGCAACTGGCTCAAGAGAGGGGCTGGCTGGCCCCTATTATTGTTTGGAAGCTGCCGCATTCTGGACTGATTGGAGTTTCTGGGTGGTCTTCAAGACCAGCCCCATGTGGAGATATCACAGCAATCCAGATGGGAGGTGACCAAGGCCTCCTGGTCCAGGAAGGGATTCAATTGGCCCACCAGAGAGATTGATGCAAAGGCCTCCCCGGCCATGGCTGCACCCTCAGCAGGAGCCCCTCTCCCAATGGTGCTTCAGCTTAGTCCAGGGAAATGCCACCCACCCAGAGCCAAAGATAAAGCATCACCAGGGCCTATGGGGGGGGGAGACAAAAGCCCACAGCCACTCTGTCTTGCCAGGACCGAGTTGGAGCCATCTCCTCCCCAGCCAAATCCTCACAAGCTCCAGGCCCTCAGCCAGCACCACTAGGGCTTCCCCTGTCCAGCTGGGGAGGAGATACCCAAATGCGATTCATGGCACACGATGAATACCAGGCCTCACCGGACAGTTCTCTTCCAAGGGTCTCTCATTGGAAAGGAGAGGCCGGAGGCTCGGGCCCCAAGACACCCTATCTTGCATGGCCCCAGGGCCTGACCCTGCCCTCCTACCAACCCTGGCCATGGAGGAAGGAGGAGAACACAGGGCCTCCCCCTTCCCACCCTGAAGCTGGCCCAGAAGGATTGCTGGATTGACAGAGGCTGGGGAAGTCCCTGCTGATTTGGGGGGGGGATGCAGGGTCACATCTGGGCACAGTGCTAGGATTGCTACCGGGGGGGGGGGGGGGGGGGCGTGCCCAGATTATCTGACCAGGTGGCGCTTCCTGCTTCTGGGATTGGAACCCCTTCTCCCTTCTTTCCAAAGAGCCAGTTGAGCCCCCCCCAACCCGGAAGCCTGTCCAGAGAGAATAACGGTTCCCTGGGCACCATGGCAACGGAGCCCATAATAGAAGCCCACAGTGGTGGCAGCCGTGGGGAGCTGCTCCTGTTAAGCAGGAGGGCACTGGAGGTGTGTCTGGCCTTGGTGGGCCAGGCTGTCTGAATGCATCCTGGGGCCCTGAGGTGGCCTCGACTGGGTGCTCTGGGGAAGGATAGGAGGCTGGCAAAGTGTGCCATGGGGCTGGGTGGGGGCCTGTCTGTCTGCCCAGTTGCAATGGGCTGGGATTTGGGGTGCATTCATGTAATGGGGAACAGCTGGGAACCTTCCAGAGATCGTCCTTCTTGGCACTGAGCCCCTCCAGCCCTTGGCAGCCCCAACTGAGAGTGCCGTGGCTTATGGGCTTAGACCCCCTCGGGGCCAGGTCCCCCCTTCTGATGAAGGGGCGGGGGTCCAGCTCTGCCTCTCCCAAAGATGTCTGTTTTGTAGGGTGGCTCTTTCCACATCCAAGTGGGTCTTTGGGAGCCCCCAGAATTGCTAAATTGCTTTGGCCATCTCAACTGCCCCTTGTACATTTCTCTTTAAAATACCTTTGGTTGCTGTTCTTTTTTGAGGGGGGTGGTTAATATTGGCCACCAGCTGCATTGAAGACCACAGTGGCAGGATAGGAGGGAGGGGGTCACCAGATGGGATCCCATGGGAGGAGGGAATGAAATGCACTCCCCCCCCCCCCAGGGAAGGATGAGGTGCTCTGGAGGCTTTGGCAGAATAGCCAGCTCCGCCTGGGGGGGGGAAGGGGGAGCTTGAAAAGGAATGCTTTTGTGAATGCCCTCAGAAGGGGCGGGGGAGGGTCCTCCCAAACTCCCCCTCTCCCTACCTTTGCTTCCAGCAGGTTGCTGGGTACTGGGGCAACGGGGGGGGTGCACCTGGATTGGTGGGATGTGGTGGATGTTGAGAGGAAATCTGCCCCCCCCCAGCAGAGGGTGGATGGGAAACACCGGGGGAGGGGGTGTCTAAGGGCCACGCCTAACCAAGAAGCGAGATTCTCACCCAGTCTACTTAGGGCATCTCAGTTGCTCAGGAAACCTGTTAGTGGGGGCTGATCCTCCCCCTGGGATTTTTTTTTGGGGGGGGGGGGATAGACAAGGCAAGGAAGGACTGTACAGATGCTGCCTCTTCACCTGCCTCCCTCTCCTTCCCCTGCAGCTCCCAGCATCACCGCCATGTCGCATGAGAAGAGCTTCCTGGTGTCGGGGGACACCTATCCAGGCCCGCAGCCTCCGGTGCCCCCTGGCTACGTCCAGGCTCCGTATCCAGTGGCCCCCCACCCACAGGGTCAGTTCCAGCCTGCACCTTATGGCCAGACCGGCTATCCGCCGAACCCCTACCCAGTTTCTCCCTACCCCCAGGCTGGGCCCTATGGACCTTATCCACAAGCCGCATACCCTCAAGGGCCGTACCCCCAGGGCCCCTATGCACAGCCGCATCCTGGAGCACCTATGAGCCCACCTGGTAAGTTGTGCCCCGGTGGGAAAGGGAGCGGGTGAGTTTCCTGGGCATGAAGCCATCTGCAAAGCCTCGGTGGCTCTGCCCCCCACCCGCCATCCTGGGCCATGGAGGGAGTCCTCCTAAGGCATCCACAGCCTCCTCCAGGGGTGCACCTCTCCTGAATTCTGACCAGGCGGAAGGGGGCGCCCTCTGAGGGACCTGGGGAGCAGGCTCCCACCTGCACCAGCCCTGCTTTCGGGATGACCAGGTGTCCAGGGGCCGTACGGAGAGCCACTCAGTCTGCCTGCATTGCTGCTTCTGCGCAGGGCCGATACACAACTACCACCATGAGGACGGTCCACCTTCTTACTATGAGAATGAGGGCTTCACCCCCAGCAACTGGGACGACAAGAACATCCGGCAGGCTTTCATCCGCAAGGTCAGCAGGATGGTCACTGTAGGGCTTGGCGGGCAGCGTGATCCTGGTTGGGTCAGAGGCTGCCCCTTTGGTTGCTGCCACGCTGCCCAGGGTCAGGCTGTAGGTGGTCAGAGGCCCCCTGTGTCCCTTCCTTGGGAGGCCCCACCAGAGTTGAGGCTCGGCTCAGATGGCCTCCCTTGGGCCGCGCACCTTGTCCACTCCTTGCAAGAGGAAGGGAATGTTTCTCCGGCCAAAGGAGGGGCGGGGGACCCTACCTGCACACAGAAGGGCCTTCTTCCGTAGACCTTGCAGGAAAAGAACACAATGTAGAGGAGAGGATCTCCAGAACTTTCTTGGGACAGGATGAAGCAGGGTCTCCATGCTCTTTCTCCACTTTGGGGGAAGGGCTTCCACTGGTGGACTTCCCACACTGCCCAAGAAAGGGCTGGGCAGGCTCATGGGTGAAGCTGAGCTAGACGGGGTCCCCCATGTGCCCTGTGAGCAGTTCAGCTTACATGGAAGAGAGTTGGGTGCCTCTTGTAGGAAAGTCCAGGCAGGGGAGAGGAGGGGGCCAGCTGGATCCTTCCGTCACCTGGTGCCCCAGACGGCTGCCCTGACCAGGCTGAGCTGCTGTCCTTGTACTCGCAGGTTTTCCTGGTGCTGACCATCCAGCTCTCTGTGACTTTCTCCTTTGTGGCCATCTTCACCTTTGTGAAAGACGTGAAGGGCTTTGTGCGCAAGAATGTCTGGACGTACTACGTCTCCTATGCGGTCTTCTTCATCTCCCTCATCGTCCTGAGCTGCTGCGGGGAGTTCCGGCGGAAGCACCCATGGAACCTGATAGCCCTGGTAGCGCAGGGCCCTGGCGGGAGAGTTTGGGGCTGCACTCCACGAGGACTTGGGAGGGTCTGGCTGGCTCTCGAGGAGGCCCCCCTCCAAGCCCTGGTGGAGGCACTAACACCCTCCTTTCCCCCTACAGTCCATCCTGACGTTGAGTCTCTCCTACATGGTGGGCATGATTGCCAGCTTCTACAACACGGATGCCGTCATCATGGCTGTGGGCATCACGACTGCTGTGTGCTTCACTGTCGTCATCTTCTCCTTGCAGGTGGGGTCCCTCGGCTTCTACTGGGATGGGGGAATTGGGCCACATGGCCTCAGACCATAAATCTGGGTCACGTTCCCATGTTTGCAGGAGGGATTGGGGAGCACTCGCTCGCTTTGGACCCCAGCATTTCCCATGCCGGTTGGCAGTGCTGCTCTGGGGGAATCACTGGGAATGAAGGGCCCGAGAGTGAGATTCCTGGTGAAGCCACCGTGCCTGTGCCAGATGGGTACAGAATCCAGGATTCCCACATTCCTGGACTTTTCACCCTGCAACATCCACCCCGGCCGTCCTCTCCAACCTGAGAGGCAGAGCCTTTGAGAAGCAAGAACACCATGTGTGTGTGTGTGTGTGTGTGTGTGTGTGTGTGTGTGTGTGTGTGTGCATGTGAGCAGGGGTCAGTCTGGGAAAGCAGCCTGGATGTCAAAACCCCTTGAACTTGCCCTGTGGCCCCCTCCTCTCCTGCAGACCAAGTACGACTTCACCTCCTGCCGTGGAGTGCTGATCGTCTGCCTGATGGTCCTGTTCATCTTCGCCATCCTTTGCATCTTCATCCGGAACCGCATCCTGGAGATCGTCTATGCATCTCTTGGGGCCCTGCTCTTCACCTGCGTGAGTGTCTGGGGGCCCCTGGGAAGAAAGGGAGCAGCAGGGGCTGCTGTGCAGGAGGGTTAGAGGAAGACACTCCCCCCACCCCCATCTGCCGGCTCACTGGAGCTTCTGGAAACCAACGCAGCTGCTTCTTCATTGCAGTTCTTGGCGGTGGACACCCAGCTGATCCTGGGGAACAAGCAGCTCGCCATCAGCCAGGAGGAATATGTCTTTGCGGCCCTCAACCTCTACACGGACATTATCAACATCTTCCTGTACATCTTGGCCATCATTGGCCGTGCCAAGGATTAGGCCGTCTCCAGCCCTTTCCTCCCTCACAGCCCCCTCCCCAGTTTTGTTCTCTTTTCCCTGTGGGCTTGGTTGGTGCACTGGGGTCGAGGTCCTGATGCTCCTGTGGAAGGCGGCACCGCAAGGTGGCAGCGGTGGGCACTCCTCTTTGGTCTGTCTGTCCAGAGCGAGGAAGGGAAGGGATTCACGCCCTGCATCTCTTGGGTGACCCCGAGTTGAGGAAGGGGTGTAAATATGCTGCTGTTCTTGTCCACTGCGTTTTGTTCTAGAAATGTCTTATTTCATTTTGGGAACTCTCCTCCTCCTCCTGGGCCCAGGAGCACCCGCTGAGTCCCTCCGATGCCCACCATGGTCTTCCTTCCCCTTGCTTGCTGGGCATGACCTTCCCCACTGGCTCCCCCTGGCCGTCCCGGGCAGAGTGTTTCACCCTGGGGGGAGGCTGTGGGTGTTGGGCAGTAAAGGGGAGGGCTCTCTCAGTCCTGAGAGTGCGCAGCTCAAGGTCTCTCTCTTGGCACCTCCATGTTGGGGTCTGCCGAGACCTTTTGACCAGGATGTTGATGTTACTTGAGGACACTTTCCTCTCTCTTCTTCCCTCCCCCCCCCACGTGGCTGGCTTTGGGGGGCTTGAAATGCCGCATGCTGAGCCACTGCCACTCTGCCCCCAAGGCCAGCCTCTGCACTAAGCTGTATAAATGGCAGTCTAATAAAAGTCAGAATATGCCCACAGCAGGGTCTTCGCTTGTCTTCAGCCAGCCAGGAAGGAAGGAGAGGAAGGGGCCTTTCCTGGGCTGGGCGCAATGTCTACCTGATCTTCCAAGGAGGGATGGAGAGGTGTGCGCTGCAGGAGCTTTCCAGAGCAATGGGTCTCCAACCTTTCCAGCTTTGCGGATCAGCAATTGGGGGAAGGGGGAAGGGATGGTTCCACGTGAGCGGTGGACGCGCATGCAACTCCATTTGTACGAGTGGCGGGCATGCATGTGGCTCGCACAAATGGTGCTGTGCGCACACGCCACTGTGCACTCAATTTGAGCTGTACGCTGGCACACGTTTGCACGCTGCTTCCACAGCCCAGGCCGTGAACAGGCCATGGCCCAGGGGTTGGGGGCTCCTGTTCCAGAGAGTTTGCAGTGATGTCTACAGCATCTGAACTACACAGGGACTTTGGCAATTCAGTTCTAGCACTTAAATATATTTCAGGGGACGGGGGTGTAATATGTATTTTTTTAAAGTACATACCTTCAAGCCCTGTTGAACAAATCCTCCGGGTGATTGTGAAACGAAGAAAGAAAAGGGAAGAGGGAAAGGATGGTCCTCTTGGCTGGTTTCATTTGTCATGGCAGAGTCTGAATAAATGTGAAAAATTTATTCTCCATGAAAAAGTCGGGGCAGCTCACACACCAGACGGGCACAGAAATTGGGGGTGAAACAACGCCATCACGGACAGGAGGGGGTGCAAAGGCCGCCTCAGCTGCCAGGTGTCATGTCTCTCCGGAAGCACAGTAAGGGGTGGGGCTGCATGGGGCGCCAGGGAAGGGGAGCACCTTTGACGGGGGAACACATCCTGTCCTTTCCAGGCAGTTCACCCACCTCTGGGCCCCACTTTGCACTCGGCTCTCACCTGCGGCTCCCCAAAGCGGTTTGCCTGTGGCAACAGCCATGACCCGCTGGATGAAGCAGGTGAGGGTAGCCGGTGGGTCTTAAACCCTTGCTGCCCATCCTGGCATGTGAAGACAGACACTGGTGGGCTGGGTGGATGAGACCATGGGTGGGCCCAATGGTCTCATCCACTCAAGGTCATGAAGGTGGCCTCTGCAAGTGCGTGGAATGTGAAGAGCAGGACAAGGCAGAGAAGATGGCCGCCCATCCGCTGCACTGAGTCCCATCTCTGCTTCTTGATCAGATGGGAGAATGAGGCTGACACTGCAATTCTCACTCAGATCCAAATTACACGCTACTCTCAACACCACCATTCTTAAAAAATCCTGTGGCGATGGGCCTCCCTGATCAGCATCCGTGCCGGCGTGCCCCCACAATGAGCAACCTGGATAACACAGGGATAAGATCATGTGAAGTGTTAATACTGCTTTATAATGCCTTGGGGAGGCCACACTTGGGAATATTGCATCCAGTTTGGGTCACTACAATGTAAAAAAAGATGCTGAGACTCTTCCAGAGTGCCGAAAAGAGCAACAAAGATGATTGGGATAGGAGGCTAAACCATATGCAGAAATTGGGTATGTCTAGTCTAATGAAAAGAAGGTCTAGGGGTGACATGATAGCAGTATTCCAGTATTTGAGGGGCTGCCACAAAGAAGAGGGGGGGTATTCTCCAAAGCACCTGAAGATGAGAACATGAATGGAAACTCGCCAAACTGAAACTAAGAAATTTTCTGAACAGCAAGAACCATTAAATCAGTGGACAACTTGCCTCCAGAAGTTGTGGGGGCTCCATCACTGGAGATTTTTAAGAAGAGATTGAACAACTATTTGTCTGAAGTGGTAGAGGATTTTCTACTGAGCAAAGGGTTGAAGGAGGAGACCTCCTTCCAACTCTTGTTATACTGAAGTGAAAGACGGGTTCTCTGAAGAACCAGATCTCCTATTATCAGCAGTGAGCAGCACCAACACATTGATCTTGCCCGGCCACGGTGGGCTTCTGCAGCCTGGTGGGAGTCATTGGGAGAGTGGGCAAGTGGGACAGGTCCTCTCTTACCGAAGATCTGTGCAACACAACTGCCTCATCAACAGTGCAGGTTTCCACTTGGTTACCTGTAATAAGACTTCCTGATTGTATCTCTACTCCAAGCGTTGCACCTTATTATGTCATTGTCGGGAAGGTAAGTGGGGGGGATGGAGACTCGCTCCATATTTCAGAGCGGGAGCAAAACACCCTTGTACTTGCCTCCTCTCTTGCTGGGTCTCGCAGGCGCTTCTTCCAGCCCTTGTTCGTACTGCGCGCACCTCGATCGCTTGGGGAGACGCGCAACCTGCTCTTCGGCCCGAGACATTGGCCTGACCTGTCCGGCCCCCCTCAGCCCGGGAGGTGCTGCGCCACCACCTCGCCAGTTGGCAGGGAATGCAGTGGTGCCGGCAGCCACAGCCTTCCCAGGGCTGAGCGAGGAGACCCCGCCGGGGCTCCCCATAAGGCGCAGCGGCCGCAGGAGCCCCTCGGCGGCGCCTCTGCCTCCTACTTGCGTATAGAGGTCGCCCAGCCCCTGCCTGCTCTGCTCTCGCCAGCAAGAGGTGGGGCTCCACGTCGCCGCCTCTCAGCCGGAGCGCCACTTTTGTTTGCTTGCTGGCCTCTTCCAAGGAGGGAGCTGCCCTCAGGTCGTCCGAGCCCCCGCCGTAGGGGGAGAGAGGGAGAGGGAAGGGGGGGGTCTCCCCCCGACAGGATCCGGGTTGGTGTTGCTTTATTTTGCGTGGATTTCCAACGCTTGGCTTTGCCTTCCAGCCTTCACTCCCCCTCCGCAGCCCAAGTGGTTGAATTCACACGACAGGTGAAGCTGGGCAGGAGAGCACAGACAGACAGACAGACAGATAGATGATGATGGATGAAGAGAGGGAGGGAGGGGTGGATGGATGGATGGATAGATAGATGAGAGAGAGAGTGAGAAAGAAAGAGACAGAGAGATAGACAGAAAGAGAGAGAGACAGAATGAGCAGAGAGAGAGAGAGAGAGAGACAGCAAGAGAAAGAGCAGACAGAGAGAGAGACAGAGAGAGAGAGAAAGAGAGAGAGAAAGGCAGAGAGAGAGAGAGAAAGAGATAGAGAAAGGCAGAGAGAGAGAGCAGAGAGAGAGAGAGACAGAGACAGACAGACAGACAGAGACACAGAGAGAGTGAGAGAGACAGAGACAGAGAGAGAGAGAGACAGAGAGAGAAGACAGAGAGAGAGAGAGAGAGTGTCAGGGTTCCAAGTAATACCCCCAACAGAATCAAAACTCCGAGGCAGGCATCTTCCTCAAAGTACAGATTTATTAGAGACGTCATATTGGCACATCTGGGGAAAACCCGAATCTGAAAGCCCCGTGTTTTCTCCACCCAAAGTAAAGTCAAAGTTCCAGTCAAACCTTTGCTGGAATGAACATGCAACCCTCTCCGGCCAGGGAGCATGACCGCTTCCTGGCTCACGCATTTCTTACCGCGCCTACTTCCCCACCAATAGATCTCCATGAGTGAGAAGCTGCGCTCTCCTCCGGTCCTCCTGGGGCAGCTCGCCTCTCCGCTGGCAGCTTCTCCTTCTCCTGGCTGCTCCAGGAGCAGCCTGCCTGTTACCCGGCAAGAACGGCCTGCCACCACAGCCTGCCCCGCCCTTTCTGACCCGGCAGTTGCTCCTGGTGCTGCCGGAGAAGTGGCAGCACGAGAACCGCTCTTGCTGGGGGCAAGGGGGTGGCGGCGGCAGGAGCAGCAGGCCAGGGCTTCCCTTCCCCCCTCCCTCCCTCCCTCCCTCCCTCCCTCCAGAGGCCTGGGGCTATCTTTAGCTTCGCTCAACCGGCGTGGGAACAGGCTCCAGCTGTTCGTCTGCCTCACTGATGTCTGACTCCAAAGGCAGCTGATAACTGGCATATGGCCCTGGCCCCCTCTCTGCCTTCATCAGAGCCTTCCCCAGACTCCAGGACTGGCCCATGTCCCTCCCCAGCTTCCTCACTGTTCGAACCTGCTGCCAGATCTACTGGCCACAACACACTGTCTCTTCTGTTCCTCTTAGTATCTTATCCAGTTCTGTCAATTCCATATAAAAACCATATAGTTTAGCATCTTTTTCATATCTAGATTGTATTTGCAGTTGTGTATACCAAACCATATCAATCCCTTTTCAATTCTTGTTTAGTTTTGAGCTCCCCCTTTTCAGACAAAATATCTTTATATCTAACAATATTTCCCATATTTATACTATTCGGATGGATAAGTGCTTCCATCATCGAAAGCCAAACTGGTATTTTCAAATAATGTTGTTCTCTAATTTTCTCCCCTACTACTAATAAAGCATTTCTTTTATAGTATCTTTGAAAGTAACTGTATATCTTACTTTTCCCATACCATAAGAAGGCGTGCCAACTCAAATGCCAACCCGCAATTTCTGAAGGCAAAGCTGTTCCACTGGTTAATTGTCCTCACTGTTAGGAAGTTTCTCCTTAATTCCGGGTTGCTTCTCTCCTTGATTAGTTTCCATCTGTTGCTTCTTCTCCTGACTTCAGGTACTTTGGAAAATAGGTTGACTTATTTTTTTGTGGCTGCCCCTCAAATATGGGAATACTGCTATCATATCACCCCTAGTTCTTCTTTTCTCTAGACTACACGTCTAATTCCTGCAACTGTTTTCCATACCTTTTAGCCTCTAACCTCCTTGAGACAGGTGGGCAGATTATGCCAAACAAGCACACCCCCACGCACCTTCTTTTCAGGGAGCTCGGTTGGAAAACAGTCGCATGGAGGGAAAGTAGGAGAAGCATTGCATAGGTTCATTAAAGGCCTTCTTGAACTTGCTTGTCATGGACACAGCCACTAGAGAAACACTGAGACACAATTGCTCTGCTGAAGTGGCCCCATCCACGAAGGCTGCCAAGCAGGGGAAGGAAGGTCCATTGCGGAAGCACAGCACAAGCACCAGCTGTGCAAGCCCGGAGCCATCAATGCAACAACTGCAGGATCTGCAGGTTTGACCAACATGTGCCAGGATGTTCCCCGCCTGGCTAGGCCTGACCAGTCATCTCCCAACACTTCACACGGAGTCTTAACATGGCTAATGGGATGGATGAACAACAAGCATAGGAGCAGGTCTGAGGATCAGATGCTGCCAAGTTGTGGGGGGTTGTCTTTACAAGTAAGAGCCCCCAAAGACTTAATGTGGGATGTCCACCTGTGGGGAAACGCTGCTTGTTGAGCTACGACATGGGTCCTTTCTTTGGCACTCGCCTGATCTGAGCCCAACCACTCTGGCAGACCTTGGCAGGGAAAAAGCTGAGGGGGCAAAGTTGCTGGCAGGCAACTCCTTCCCCTCCCCTCCCCAATATTCTCCCACTTCACCCTTCCACAGCCAAATAATAGGACTCGGCTGCATCTGTTGGGGTCTCCATGGCTGTAGAGTGGTGCCAATGTGTGTGATGCACATACCTCCCTGCCCTCCCCATGGCCATGTCCCTCCACCCCTGCCTGGCTGGGGAGCCTGCAGCGTGAGCAGATGCCACTCTTTGCACAACGGGCGCTTCCTGTCCCATCTGAGCCAGGAAAGGGGGCATCGTTTTCTCTTCCAGGCAAAGCTCTGTGGAACCTCCTGTGAGCCTCCTCAGGTGGAATTCAACTTGCACAGCTCTGTGAGGCTTCATGGAACAAGACACAGCTCCCCAACCCCACCCACGGGACAATTTGGGGACTTTCCCCCAGCCCATGGCCGTGGGTCAGCAAGTCTGAGCCTGATTAGTTTTCAGAGCACCAACAGTTGGCCAAACAGGGGAAGATGACTTCTTGTCCAGAGGAAGCATGAATATTATAATAGGCAAGTCACAGATGGCCCAGAATGTTTGACTGCTTACTGAAGGCTCCCAGGATGGTCCAGGTGCCCTGTCAGAGGTCCATCTCATCCATGGACCAGTCCTGGTGGGGGCCAATGGACACAAAGAGACAGGAGTCCATTTAGCTGTTTTCAACAAAGCTCTTACATTAAATCAGTCTTTCTGGATTTTAAACAAAGCTTTGAAGTACAGTTTGGATGGCTTGGGTTGCACCAGCATTGGGCAATTCATGGGCCGTGAGCACCATCCATGTTCTGGGCTTTGCCCCTTGCAATTTGGCCATGGACTGAAGGGAGCTGGTCAGAAGAGCTGCCCTCGAGGCTGGGGTCAGAGCCCACCTGCCTCTTTCCGGGGCACCAAACTTCCCCTCTTGCCACAAGGGCCAGGGATCCTCGTCAGAAGGCTGGCAGGCCAGAGGAAGAGGTCAATGTTCCAGCTGCAATCAGTCTCCCCACCCCAACCCCAATGGCCAGTCCCCAAAACAGCAGATTCCCCCAGAAGCCCCCCCCCCCCCAAAAAAAACACACTCTTTAATTGTGAAAGCAGCTGGCTAGAACCAGGCACCACCTTTGGGCTGGCGAGGGTCCCTCCCAAATGGTCCCTCCCAGATGTCCCTCTGGGCCATCCCAGGAGCTCCATTCTGCTCTGGGGCAGAGCCCAGCAACCTCCCCCCCACTCTTCCAGTTCCTTCCCTCCCCCACCTGACCGCATCACAAAGGCTGCCTATGTCACTATGTCAGTTGTCTAAGCTGCCACCTACCAGCCCGGCAGTGGATAGGAGAGGGGAGCTGTTGGCAGCTGGGGCTCCCACATGGCCCTCTGAATGTCATTCTTTTGGGGCACCCTGAGGCAGCAAAGTCTCCCCACTTCAACGCATTTTTAAGGGGATGGCTATCTTTGCTCGCTATGAGGCATTGAGAAAAGAAATCAAGGCCCTCGTGGCTGAAAACGAAGAACTGAAACAGCTGGTGCTGCTTCTACGCGAAAACCAGGAGCTCAAGTCCCTCCTTCACGACCAATTCAACGAGAGAAATCTGCTGCCCAACTTTGAATCCAGCCGGCTGGACCAACAAGGTGGCATGGGGGGGAATATGGGCATGCCTTTGACGCCAACCGAATCCCTCAGGCTGTCCTCGGGCCCCAATCCAGCCCCCCCCCCCCGTACATCTACTCGGTCTCCTGTGCTGAGCTGCAGCAGTGTCCCAAGGGGGTCAGGGCAGCTGGGGAAGACCTTGGCCTGGAGACCTTGGGGCTGTTTGAGTGGAAGTCGGGAGACAGCCCAGTTCCACAATCAAGTGCCACCCAGAGCCGACAGTCAGGGGTTGCCATATCTGGTGATCTAGCCAGCCAGGGGAAAGTTCCTTGAGGGGGCACCCATGGAGGGGAGCTCCCCAGAGATAAGCTGAGAGGGATACTTTGTGAAGCCATGGGGGGACAAAGAGGGTCCTCCGTCCCCTGGTTCTGACTATTTTTCCAAAGGCGGCAGAAGAATGCAATGGTGGCCTCCGTCATCTGCCTCAGTCCAATGTTATCCCTGCTCATCCAAGGGTGATCCCAGAGGAGACCCTCGCTAAGCCCTCCCCCCAGGTGGATGCAGACAGGGCAGAGGTTCACTTGAAGAAGCACGTGAAGGGAGACCTGGAGGCCCGATTTTCCACCCACCCCCTGCATGCCCTCAAAGAAGAAGGGGTGGAAATCCGTGACATCTGATATGGGATTATAGGGTGGGGGCCAAGGTGCTGGGAAGGCTCAGGGTGGTTCTTTCCCCTCAGCAGGAGGAGGCTGACCCAGGCTTCCCTGTTTGTCCTCCCCACAGAACCTTTAGCCAACCAGGCCTTCCTTGACTCTTCCAACTTGGATCAATCCCAAAATTCCCAGAACGCCATCTTGCGGCTGGGCATTCGACAGCGACATCCATCTGGCCTCACAGCCCAGCTCACCACACAATACCCTCCACCCCCTCCTCCACCAGGAGCCATGGCTGCCAGTCTGCGGGGCTCCCCTCCCCGCTTCCAGGTCTGCTCTCCCGCAGGTTCCACTTCAGGTGAGTCACAGGTGCCGGCTGGGTCCTTGCAGCATAAAAGCTTAACTGTTCCAGATCCAGCATGGGATGCCTCCCCTCCAGGCACCTCGGAGGAGACAGCCTTTCTCCTCTATGTCGGGCAGAGTTTAGAGTCCTTGGGGCAAGTGTGCCAGCTCAGACTGCGCAGCTGCAGCAGGGGCCAGCCGTACTTCTCGCTCTGATGGGTGATTCTGAGCTGCCCAAAGGGAGTCATGTGGTCGAGGTCATGATGGACTCTGGGAGGACAGGAGCCGACAGTGCTGCAAAGGCTTCAGGGATTCAATATGTTCCTCCTCCTGTTGCACTCTGCTGAATGGGAAATTGGCCTGTGCAGATACGGGTCTCTGGGTGATCCACACTGTGGCCAGAGGAGAGCTCCGGGGGCCTGGCTCCAACCTTGTCTGCAAGAGATTTGGTTGTGCAATGTGGAACCAAGCATGAGAAGGTGGTGTAACTCATGGCCTGGAGATGATGCAAGGCCAGTCTCATACTCATGAGACACAAGGGACAATTGTGGGTGTGGTTGCGTAATTGTGTGTGTGTATGAAAGAAAGTGAAAAAGAGAGACGAATGCTGGATTTTAATATAGAAGATCTGTGAACTCACTTTCCTTATTGGGGACATAATCTTTCTCTTTGCGTGAGGGAACAATAATTCTGTGCTTTCAATCGACAGCCATAGATGCAGCCTTCACCCAAACAAGGAGCACAATCACTCCATGGGCAAACCATGCTTCTCCTGCTACAATTGCAGCCTCCCCGTTTTTTAAAATCCTCACAGCAACTAGACCTTCTGGACAGCAGTTGTTTCTTGGATGCCAAGATGTACAGTGTTGGTCTTCAATTCTACTCTTTGTTGTATCTCTACATACACATCTCGGAAATATTCCTTCTGCCATCCCTTCACTTAAGTTTTGTTTCAAACTATTTTACCACTCTTATTTTTAATCCTATTTATTCTTGCAGAGGCTCCTTGTTTAGTCTCTTCGCCTACTTCTGAAGCAATTTGTCTTTCTATTAAAACTGCATTGTATTTTTTTCTTCTTTTTATAATCTTAACCATTTATTGATCTTTTTTTGCTACATTTTGCACTCTATTTGTCTTTCTATATGCACTATATTTCTCAAAAGGGACACGGTGGTTCAGTGGCTAAGACACTGAGCTTGTCAATCGAAAGGTTGGCAGTTTAGCGGTTCGAATCCCTAGTGCCATGGAACGGGGTGAGCTCCCGTTACTTGTCCCAGCTTCTGCCAACCTAGCAGTTCGAAAGCACGTAAGAAATGCAAGTAGAAAAATAGGGACCACTTTTGGTGGGAAGATTCCGTGTGCCTTTGGCATTGAGTCATGCTGGCCACATGACCACGAAGACGTCTTCGGACAGCGCTGGCTCTTCGGCTTTGTAACGGAGATGAGCACTGCCCCCTAGAGTCGGGAACGACTAGCACATATGTACGAGGGGAACCTTTACCTTTATTATATATTTCTCATTCTCCATTTCTGTAGCAATCATTTTTATATTCATTTTTCTCTTAGCAGAGTCTCTTCCACTTCACATTGTTCAATCAAGCACCCTTTTTGGAATAAGCCCACATCCTTCGCTGGCAGTCTACAGCACCATTCCCCATCCTCTTTCCTAACATCCGCCTTCATTCAATAAATGTCTATGGAGATTCTCAGCCATCCAGGTCACGGTTGTCCCAAAGGTGCTTTTTCAAGAGGCAACTGGATTTTCTGGTCTTTCTTTGAAGATGTTTCTCTTCTCATCCAAGAAGCTTCTTCAGTTCTGACTGGATGGTGGGGAATGGAAGGATTTATATTCCTTGCAGACAGCTGGTCATTTGCATCCTTTTAGAGAGCCGTTGAGGCCACCTGTGGATTTATCTGTGTCCTCAGGGCCACCTGAATGGTGCAAATGGGTGTGGAGACTTCTTGGAACTGCTGAAATGATTGTGTTGTAGGCTGGAGATAGATGATGTCGTATTCCTCCCACTCTGTTGACAGAGGTCTGTTCAATTTGGATATAGATGGTCTCTTTGACCCCTCTTTCAAACCTGCGATCCTCTCTGTCCAAACTGTGGACTTTGCTGTCTTCACAAGAGTGGCCTTTGTCTTTTAAATGCAGATGGACTGCCAAATCTAGTCCTGATCGGCTTGCTCTCCTATGTTGTACCATGTGTTTATGAAGTGGTTGTTTTGTTTCCCCAATGTATAGATCTACACATGGCTCATTGCATTGTACTGCATATACCACATTGCTCAGTTTGCCTCTGTGTGTTTTATCCTTGGGGTGAACAAGCTTCTGCCTTAGTGTATTCTTGGGTTTGAAGTGTGCATGCAGGTTACGTTCAAGATCCTCTTGAGCTTTTCTGATATTCCTGCAACGAACAGAATGACAATGTTGCTTCGTTTATTGTTTTCTTCATTCAATAGTTGGAAAATTCATGGCTTTTCTGTTATGACAGGATGGCAGCCACTAAAACAAGAGCTGCTCTCTGTGCTGTGACTGGATTGTTTAAATGCCCCCCCCTCCCAATTTGGTTAAATATTTAAAAAGGCCATAATATGGTCATAGTTTTGGAAACAGACCTGCTCCACAAATAGGCACCCTCACTGGAAGATGCTGTCTTTTATCATTCCAACCTTGGGAATAGGCCAGATGCTTGGGGAAGGGGAGAATAGGTAGGCCTGACAATCCTAATTTTACCGATGATGATGATGATGATGATGATGATGATGATGATGATGATGATGATGTTATCATCGATTCAGTCGGGTCTGACTCTTGGTGATTCGAAGGGCCAGGTGATCTCTCCATGTCTTCAAATCTTGCACTGCTTCTTTGATTTATTCTACGCTCTGGCTGGTGTCAGCTTTGATTGTGTCCAGCCACCGTCTTCTTTGGCAGCCTGGTTGCCTTTTGCCCCTAACTCTTCCCAATGGAATTGTTTTCTCCTGCAAATTACCCCGCATGACACGGCCAAAATAAGTGAGACATTATGCACTCTAGTATTTGCTGGTTAGCCACCTTTGCTGTCCAAGGAATAAGCATTTGTCCCCTATTGACATTAATTCCATGGTTACATATAAAGCATTGCTTGCAAATCAGGGGAATTTTGTTTTATACTGAAGAGTGGGCTGAAATAAGCCCAACGGGTGCAGGTGGGGAGGCTGAACTTTGTGTCTGTTTTACAAAAAAGAAACATGCAAGAAACCTGAATGTGGAGAAGTTGCTAGGAGATACACAATAGCCTGGACTTTACCTGCTTGGATATCTAGGCTGGCATTTCTCAACCTTTAAGTTGCTGAAGTTGAGAAATTCTTCCCTGGACACAGGGCAGCCATTTCTGATCTGAGAGAAAAACAAAACGCACAGGTACAGTATATGTGGTACCTCGCTCAATAGTAGTAACTCTGGGAGGGATCTTGGAGTCCTAGTGGACAACCATTTAGATATGAGCCAGCGATGTGCAGCAGCTGCCAAAAAGCCAACACAGTTCTAAGCTGCATAAACAGAGGGATAAAAGCCCTTACCACTTGGTAAGGCCACACATGGAATACTGCAATCAGGTTTGGTCACCACCATGTAAAAAAGATGTTGAGACTCTGGAAAGAGTGCACAGAAGAGCAACAAAGATGATTAGGGGGCTGGAGGCTAAAACATATGAAGAATGGTTGCAGGAACTGGGCCTGGCTAGTTTAAAGAAAAAAAGGACTAGGGGAGACATGAGAGAAGTCTTCCAATATCTCAGGGGCTGCCACAAAGAAGAGGGAGTCAAACCATTCTTCAAAGCACCTGAGGGTAGAACAAGAGGCAATGGGTGGAAACTCATCAAGGAGAGAAGCAACTTAGAACTATGGAGAAATTTCATGACAGAACAATTAATCAATGGAACAACTTGCCTGCAGAAGTTGCGAATGCTCCAACACTGGAAGTTTTTAAGAAGATGTTGGATAACCATTTGTCTGAAGTGGTATAGGGTTTCCTGCCTAAGCAGTGGGCTGGACTAGAAGACCTCCAAGGTCCCTTCCAACTCTGTTATTCTATTCTGTTGTGTTGTGTTCTGTTCTAGTCTAGTCTAGTCTAGTCTTGTTGTCTGAAGTACATCCTTGAAGAAGTCTGTGCAAAGATCCCGGCAGAGGCTCCTTCCCAGCAGGTGGTCATTCAAGCCCGCCCTGCACCCCACCTTATGCAGGTGGGGTGTAATAGCCAAAGGGCTCTGCCTTTATCACCCATGGGGTCAGAAAGTGAGAAAGCTGCCAGCTGGCTAAAGAGGCCAGAGGTGCAGATTTGACTCTTAACAGCTTCCAAATCTGTATATGGATCTGTATGAGGAGCTTAGGAACGAATCTCTTCAAAACAAGCTGGTTGGAGGAGGAGCATTCAAAACAGGAGGCAGGAAGGACTCGGCCCGTAACTGACCCGTCTCTCTCTTCGTTAACACCGCAGAGAAACTGTACACCCGATACTTACTTACCAAATAAGCGGAAGGAAGATTAAATTCTTGCTAAAGAACCCAGAAAAGGCTATTTAACATCAAAGAATGGCTTGGTACTACAGCAGGAATCTCCAAACTTGGGAACTTTAAGGCTTCATCACTGGTGCTTCATGACCGGAGGTTTTTAAAAAGAGACCGGACAGCCACCTGCCTGAAATGGTGCAGGCTCTCCTGCTGCAGCAGGAGGTTGAACACCTCCAAGGCCCCTTCCAGGTCTATTTGATTGAGTTTCTTGTGGACTTCAACATAGCTGGCTGGGGAATTCTGGGAACTGAAGTCCACAAATTGTAAAGTTGGCAAGTTTGGAGATCCCTGTACTAGAGCACTGAATATGCGAATCCAGCAAGATATAAGGGAAGGGAAAATCTTCTCAGTGTTGGTAGACCTGAAAGCCACCTTTGATCTCCTAAATGGAAAATGGGAAGCTTCGGGTTGGTGGAAGATGTTTAAACTGCTCCCTCAATCCAGCTATTTATACAACTGGAG